TGTCATGTTCTCAGTTCCTATCTTACTTGACCTGTCAGCAATATTTAATACAGTTGACCACTCCTCACTCTTGGAAACATATCTTTGACTTTCAAGATAACTGCACTTTGATTTTGCCCCTTTCTTACTGGCTATACCTACTCACTCTCTTTTCTGGTCCTCTTCATCTCCTTGTCATCTTTTGCAGCTAGCTGCCTTCATGGCATTTCTATTTGTTTATCTGGTAAGCATTTTAAATTTAATATGTGCAAAAAAAAAAATTAATATGTGCAAAAGCACACTTCTGTCCCTCCAACCCTGCTCTACCTTTAGTCTGCCCCAGATCAGTTACAGATAACTCATTTCCTCTTGCTCAGAGCAAAAATTTTGAAGTCATCAACCTCTTCTCTTTCTTCACATTCTGTCTTCTGTTCATCAGCAAATGCTTTTAGTTGTGTCTTCAAAATTTATGATTCTCTTATCATCTCACAGACACCATCTTGATCCAAGCTACCATTATCTCTTGTCAGAATTACTGCAAGATTTTCTTAAGTGGCCCCCCAGCTTCCTTCCTTGCCCTCACAGGTCTGTTCTCAGTGCAGTTCCTGTTAAACTGTAAATCAAATTGAATTATTGTTCAACTGAAAAGGTTCCCCATCCAAATGAGTACAAGTTTAAATGATTATCATGCCCTGGGATACTGTGTGATCAGTTCCCAGTTATCCCGTCCTCATCTTACTACTCTATTCTAGTCCCTTGTTTACTCACACTGCGCCTGTTCCCTTAACCCATAGGCAGGCTCCTCAGGTCCCTTGTGTTTAGTTTCCATTGCTTAACCTTCCACTCCTGGGTATTCTAGAGCCTTGTTTCCTTACTTTCTCCATGTCTTTAGATGTTACCTGCTTTCTGATGTCTGTCTTGACCACCCTGTAGAAAATTGTGGAATTCCTCATCCTTCCACACCTCCTGCCCACCAGCCCCTTCTTTGCTTTGTTTTTCTCCAGGGCACTCAGGACTTAATAACATATTTTGATTTCTTTCACACTATTTTTTTTTAAGTTTTTTTAATGTTTATTTATTTTGAGAGAGAGAAACAGCGCGTGAGCAGGGGAGGGGCAGAGAGAGAGGCAGCATCTGAGGAAAACCCCAGGCTCAGAGCTATCAGCACAGAGCTTGATGTGGGGCTCGAACTCACGAGCCTTGAGATCATGACCTGAGCCGAAGTTGGATGCTTCACTGACTGAGCCACCCAGACACCCCATCAGCTAATTTTTAAACCTTAACACATAAATGGATTTTAAATAAGTTTTTGCATTTTGATGCTTACATTTTTCATAACTTCTTTTAAACCATAATTTGATTCAGATATTTATCTACTCTAGGATGAAGTTTTCACATCTATAAAATGAACAAAAAATTTGCTTGAGCACCAACTAAATTGAAACGATAGGAAACTATAGTATGTTCAGTCAAAAGGAATCTCAAAAAATTTCTTCTCTGGAAATGCATAGCTTCCCCCCAAGAAATTAAGTTACATACAATTTCCACTTTGCTTTTTTTTTGTTATATCCTTCCTAGTCATCACTTTTCAACAACTATGTTAAGTAAAGGAACAATTATTGGTCATTAGATTATAAACGGCAGATAATCCACTTGCAACCGTTCTTGTTTATGCCATCTTAAAAACAATGGCTTCAGATATGGAAATGAGCAGTTTTTTATATGTTGTCCAGGAAGACTCATCTGGAGGCAGAAGTGATTAATTCAGATACTTCCCTGTAAATAAGCTTGTCATGTAAATAGCCTGTTTCAGTCCCCTTTTTGTTCAAACTGGAAAGAATGTATTCACTTTTATTAACCAAACATATTTTTACATGGAGGCAGGAGAATGGGTTGCTTAGTTGTGCCTAGGGAGCTCTTCGGACATCCGTGTTTTTTTCACTATTTATTCTTGGTAAATTTCAAGTTCTGAGACATTAGTGGTGTTTATTCAGGCCAAGCATGCCCTTGGCATTCCCAAACTCTGATTTGTTCCTGTTAGAATTTCAAAGGTTCCTAACGTTTTTCTCATTCTTGCAAAATGAGAAAGTTTTCTTGCCAAACTTTTCAAGTATAAATTTGATTTGTCATATTGGCACCATGAAATTTATCTTCTAGTAGTAGGAAAGTATGTTCCATGTACAGAAATACATTGTTACATTTTGTACTGAGGTTTCAGGTTTTGGTTGTAAGATAATTCTGGATAAACTTTAATATATCAAGTTTTGAAACATTAGTTTGCATAGGAAATACATCTGTTTTATTGTAATATTACAATTCTCTTATTTAGTGAAGTAATGAATACTTAACTCTTCAAGTTTCTTGTTTGAAGGTCATAGTTGAAATGATGATATCTTCCAGTTTTTGTCCCCGTAATTCCTGCTTTATGCTTATTTCTCTGACATAGTTATTAATAGCACCCTCTTTCACTCTTAAAAATGCCTCAAGTTGAAAAATACATTGTTTGGACACTAGTTATTATACTAGGGCTCTCACTTTTGGCTTTACATAGGAATGATGGGATTTCTTTTCCCTTTTCTACCATCTTTCCTCTCCTCCTCCTGTGCATAAATACAGGGTGGATGGGAGAGATAAGTATGTGTATCTCTGATATGTCCATATGAGAGATGGACTTCGTAGGATGTAACATGAAAGAATCGTGAAAAACATGAAAAAAAAATGTTAGCTTTCTAAAAGCATTTTTAAGAATGAAATATTTTAATTTTGTATTTAAAACATTCTAATTCTGGCCATTTGGCCAACTTCCAACATCATTCTTTATTATTATTCATTACATTTGATTATATATTCATTTGGACTTCTAAAACTTTAGCTTCTTTAACTTATACATGCTGCACATAGTCTCTATCAATTTTTCAAGTTTGTCCTTTGAAGAACATTAGAATTCTTGCTCTTCCAAAACTGTATGTTGTTACATTTCTAATGCATTTAACATTTTTAAATGGATAATTTATTAGTTATATGGCAATTATGGTTTTATCTGTGGCCAGAATATAATCCTTCTGTTGTTTTATCAAACCAGTCTAAGTTTGAAGGAGCATGGGCTGTAAGAAGTTTTTATGTAATATAGTCGCAGTCTTTACAAAGCTTATCTTTAATTTCACATTTGTGCTACGAGATGACCATATAAATCTTATAATGACAGAACTTCCCAAGGAGACAACTTCTGTGACACAAAGGGAATCTTACTAAACGCAGCATGACATGATAAGGAGCGCGCACTCTAGAACCAGACAGCTCGGGTTTACATTTGGGCACCATCGCTCCCTTGCTGTGTGACGGTAGATAACTACTCTGTGTTTCAGTCTTCTCCTTTGTAAAATGGAGATAATGACACAACCTACACTTTGCGGGGTTGTTGTGAAGATTAAATGAGTCATAGTAAGTAAAATGCCTAAAATAGTTACTATCACGTGGTAAGCATCTATATGTTTGTTATTACTATGATTGTCAGTGGAATATTTTCGGTTTATGTTAGACACCTTAAAAGTCAATTGATAATATTAAAGGCTTAAGTACTGTATCTCTATATTTATGTTAAAAGGAATTGTGAGCCTTCTTGTATGCAGGTTGTGTGTGAGTGGAGATGTGGAAGGTATGGAAACTGTTAGGAGATTAGGTTCACACAGAAATCTTACCAGCAGACATCTAGGAGAGAGCCTGTTGGTAGAAACCTCAGCCTCTAGCATTTTTTCAGACTCATTTTAGTTTTCTTTTTGTTTTTTTTTTTCTTAATGTTTATTTATTTTTGAGAGAGAGCGAGTAGACGAGGGGCAGAGAGGGAGGCAGAAGATCAGAAGCGGGCTCTGTGCTGATAGCAGAAAGCCCCATGTGTGGTTCGAACTCACGAACGCGCGATCATGACCTGAGCCAAAATGAGATGCTAAACAGAGCCACCAGGCACCCCTAGTTTTCTTTTTTTTAATTGCCCTTTTTGTCCTTCAAGGTCCAACTTACATATCTTCCCTTCATACACTCACCTCTCTTCCTCCAATTAAAAATAATCAACTCTTCTTTGTGGCCTTGGAATTTTGTTTGTGCTTTAATATAGCACTAACTATAGTTAGCTGGATGATACAGATTGTAGCATGGTGAATGCACTAGGACCTTCTAATCATATCTCTGCTCACAAGCCCTTTTGTTAGTTTATTCTGGGTTTTATTTCATTCTCTGTGACTTGCTTTTATTTCTAATGCCCATTATTGCAGAAAGGAAATATAGTTAGGGACTGAAGCTTCTCCACCTACTAACTGTTCATGATTAATAGTACTGTAATGGCAATCTACTTGGAATTTTGCTATTGAAATAACTTACAGAACAATGAAGGTATCTTTGAGAAATGAAAATTGCAACCAGTTTGTGATGACTTAATGACTGAAATATATAGATCATCTTGGAATGAAAAATACATCATTGTTTAATATACTTAAATAATTTAATTCTGTCTGTAAAATTAAATCTCATGTTTCCGTTAGTTTGATGATAGAATATTTTTTGAAGATCATTGCAATCAGGATGATGTCAGAAAATAATGACATGACATTTTGTGATATCTATTTAAAAATTTTTTTTTTCAACGTTTTTTTTTATTTATTTTTGGGACAGAGAGAGACAGAGCATGAACGGGGGAGGGGCAGAGAGAGAGGGAGACACAGAATCGGAAACAGGCTCCAGGCTCTGAGCCATCAGCCCAGAGCCTGACGCGGGGCTCGACCTCACGGACCACGAGATGGTGACCTGGCTGAAGTCGGACGCTTAACCGACTGCGCCACCCAGGCGCCCCTTGTGATATCTATTTTAAAATGCACTTCCACTTAAAGAATAATATATAAAAGCTATTTTCTTCTTAATAAGTTATCTGTACTCCAGTTTTTTGTGAACTATTTATTTCTGGTTCATAAACCATTTGATTGAGGAGTCTCTATTGGTTGATACGTTTTAAATTTTAACTTTGTTGTTAGTATCACAATGTAAAAGATGACATTTCATACTGGCACAGCAAGTAAGCATTTCTGTCCAATCGTTATTACATAGATTTATTTAAACGATGTGGATTTTCATGACTTTCTACTGATATTCTCCATGAATAATAAACACAAAACTCTAATACCCAATCCAGGTCTTTATGGGAGATATGGTAATATGATGTAAAAAAACACTTGCTTTAGCCAACTTGACAATAAATTATATTAAAAAAAACACTTTGTTTGCAGTAGACATGGTTGGACACAAATTAGAGCTTTAACATAGGCTGTGACTTAGAACTAGGTACTTTAAGCTCTTGAAGTTATAGTTTACTTCACTATAAAAAATGGTTAGAAAATAAACATACGGGATTTGTAGGAATTATATGAGCAAAATTATTTATGTTATACTCTATATTTATTTATAACTATGTTAGAGAAGTGGATTTTTAAAAAATTAAGTGGGTCTCTGAAAAAAGCTTACTGTTGGTATTTTTCTTGATCCAGACTTCCACTTTAAGAAAAAAACAAGATTTGATCTTTAAAGGCGCTCATAACCTAATTATTCACTCTTGTTGCCTTCTGCTTTTTGGACATTACCCTTAGATGTTATTAAATGTGTCATTCAATTTCAGTTCCTGCTATCAGTACTATTAGTGGGTGCCTCACCTAACGCTCTGACTTCATACTTTCTTGAGCCCTACAGGAATATCGACTTAGCTTCACTTAACTACTTCAGTGGTTACACCCTGGATCTTGGTATCCACTAAAATTCTATCCTGGGAAGTACTGTTCCACCTCCAAATCACCATTCTTTAGCAGCAATCTCTAGTCTTTTATCCTGTTTGTACACTACTTACATTTATCTGTTTGTCATCTTATCAGGACTACATGTCCTTTGTCTCTTCTGCTTCTTCCTAACCTATCAGCCCTCAGTTCTCTTCTCTTCCATTCCTCTGTAAGTGAGATCCCAAGGGTCATCGCTTCAGCTAGCTCATATCCCATTTGTTCCCATTTTGACACTTGTGATCTCTATGTTATATTTTTTCATTTAAAATATTTTATAGAATATTTATTAACTTCTCAAGACCTCAGTTTTCTTGTGGGTACTGTGTGAGTAATTATACTTACCTCATTAGATTATGGTAAGGATCAAACAAGTTATATATACAAAGTGTTTAGCCTACCTTTAACCCACGTAGAGATAATTTATGGAGAAAGATACTGGGACATTTAGAGGTAGACCATGTTTGCACCTGTACTAGTGTGTGTTGCTACAGAAATACCAAGCCAGGTAAATTCATATAATATCCACCTTAGGTACCAAGCTCAAGTGGGTCCTTAAGATTGTCAGATAGTCCACTCTAAGCAAGTACATTTATGAATCTTTAGGAAATAGATACTTATGTATTTGGAATAATTGAGTGTATACTTAAATTTTAGAAATCTCCGAGAAGCAAGGGATAATGCTGTAGCTGAAAAGGAACGAGCAGTGATGGCTGAAAAGAATGCTTTAGAAAAACATGATCAGCTCTTAGACAGGTAAGCATCCTGCATGTCTGGAAATGTTAAAACTCTTTGATTTTTGTTCCTGTTACTTTTGATTTTAGAAAAAATATTTTTAAAAGAAGTATATTTATTTCAAGTGAACTGTAGTTTACATGCATTGTTTTTGTAACATATAACTGGCATATACTAAAACAAGATAATAGAACAGTTCAGTCACTGTCCAGTTTCCTTATACCCCTTTTGTCCATCTCAACCACTGCTGCTCAAGAGACAAACACTTCCTCATTTCTGTCACCATAGCTTAGTTTCACTCTTCCTGGATTGAAAATAAATGGAATTGCACACAATGTAATCTTTTGTGTCTAGCTTCTTTCACGCCACATTATATTTTCATCTATTTTGTTGTTGTATCAGTAGTTCATTCCTTACTGTTGCTGGGTAGAAATGTACCACAGTTTGTTTATTCACTCACCTGTCAGTGGACATTTAGGTTGTTTCCATTTTGGAGCTATCATGAATGAAGTTGCTGTGAAATTTTCTATAAAGTCTTTTGGGCATATGGTTTTATTTGTCTTAGATAAATTTTCTCTAACACTGGAATTGCTAGTCATAAAGTAGCTGGATGTTTTACTTTCAAAGAACTTACTGAGGGGTGCCTGGATGGCTCAGTTGGTTAAGCATCTAATTTCAGCTTAGGCCATGATCTCATGGTTCATGGGTTTGAGCCCTGCGTCAGGCTCTGTGCTGGCAGCTCAGAGCCCTGGAGCCTGCTTTGGATTCTGTGTCTCCCTCTCTCTCTGCCCCTCCCCTACTTGCACTGTTTCGCAAGAAAATTAATAAACATTAAAAAACAAAAGAAACTATTGAACTTAACTCCAAAATTAAGTTCATTATATACTCCCCAGTTCATTTCTTAAAAATCTGTATGTTCTGGTTTATGTGTGTTGGAGGAAGGGGAAGAGAGAAAATGATTTGTCTTTAATTTATCAATAGAAAACTATATTATTTTTTTTTTCAACGTTTATTTATTTTTGGGACAGAGAGAGACCGAGCATGAACGGGGAAGGGGCAGAGAGAGAGGGAGACACAGAATCGGAAACAGGCTCCAGGCTCTGAGCCATCAGCCCAGAGCCTGACGCGGGGCTGGAACTCACGGACCGCGAGATCGTGACCTGGCTGAAGTCGGACGCTTAACCGACTGCGCCACCCAGGCGCCCCAAAAACTATATTATTTTTAATAGTCTAGTTAATAGGAAAATCACTGATGAGTATTAAGGTAAATACCATTGCCTCATTGAACAGCCTAGACTTTCAGTGGTTTGACTACATGCAAATAGAATGGTTACCTTTTTAAAAAAACTTTTTATTTTGAAAATAATTTCAGACAGAAAAGTTAGTAGAATAGTTCATCAAGTACATATACCTTCCATATACTGATAAACTTAGAAAATAACTGAATGGAGCTTTTAATTGTGTTAAATGAAGGCTTGCAGATTCATTTGTGATTTTAGCAATACATGAAACTAAAAAAACTAAAAATTGAGGCAACTCTTCATATAATTAACCTATGACCAAAATCTTGTAGAATGACTCAAATTATTAAACTTCTGAATTCAAATCAACTTTATAAACATGATACATTAGTAAATACAATATTAGAGAAGTCTTTTCTGTAATGTGGAAGTGTACCTAATCTGAACATTTTATATTAAAATAAATTTCTAAGTCAGCTGTTTTTATTGGAGTGCTGTTATAACCTTAAAATCTTTTAATATGTATAATCTTTCCATTTACAAAACTATATGGTTTACATAAAAGATTTGTCTCTTTGTTGATGTTTTGAACGTGACGTATTTAGGAATGGCTCTAGAATAATATTTGTGGACAAACTAACAAACTTTATTTTTTTTAATGGTTATTTATATTTGAGAGAGAGCAAGAGTGCACAAGCAGGGGAGGGGCAGAGAGAGAGACAGAGACAGAATATGAAGCAGACTCCAGGCTCTGAGCTGTCAGGACAGAGCCCGACGTGGGGCTCGAACCCATGAGCTGTGAGTTCATGACCTGAGCCAAGTCGGACGCTTAACTGAGTGAGCCATCCAGGTGCCCCCAAACTAACAAACTTTAAAAAAAAGTGTAAGATTTTTTTTTAATGTTTATTTATTTATTTTGACAGATAGTGTACCAGTGCACGAGTAGGGGAGGGGCAGACAGAGCAGGAGAGAGAGAATCCCAAGCAGGCTCCACATTCACATGGAGCCTGATGAAGGGCTCAATCCCATGACCATGAGATCATGACCTGAGCCAAAATCAAGAGTCAGACACTTAACTGTCTGAGCCACCTAGATGCCCCAAGAAAGCATAAGATTTTAACTAGTAAACCAGAACTTATATTCAGGCAGAATTTCATAACTTACTAGCTTTGGTATGTTTTTGTGAATTTGGAGAAAAGAGAATAGTAGTAAATCTGACCTTAAAACTGGTAGGGGGACCTGGGTGTCTCAGTCAGTTGGGCATCTGACTTCGTCTCAGGTCATGATCTCGTGGTTTGCGAGTTCAAGCCCTGCATCAGGCTTTGTGCTGTCAGCTCAGAGCCTAGAGCCTGCTTCGGATTCTGTGTCTCCATCTCTCTCTCTGCCCCTCCCCTGGTCACGCTGTCTCTCTCTCTCTCAAAGATAAATAAACATTAAAAAGAATTTTTTTTACTTGGCTGTTTTTTTTTTTTAACATTTATTCATTTTTGAAAGGCAGAAAGAGAGCACAAATGGGGGAGGAGCAAAGAGAGAGGGAGACACAGAAACAGAAGGAGGCTCCAAGCTCTGAGCTGTCAGCACAGAGCCCAATGTGGGGCTCGAACTCACGGACTGCGAGATCATGACCTGAGCCAAAGTCGGATGCTGAACCGACTGAGCCACCCAGGCGCCCCATTATACTTGGCTATTATATATTTATACTAAACTCTGTTATGTCCTAGATTCTGGCACTCTAAAATCCTTATTTGTCCATATACTAACAACTGGTATTTATCCTAAAGGCCATAGGATGCTTTAGTACTTAAAGGTATCTTTTGAATAATTGAATTCAATCATTTAAATGTTTGTAAAGCATGTAGAACAGTGTCTTGCATATAAGTAGTGATACAGAAATGTTTGCTGTTATTATAAAATAATTTGTTCAGTTCTGTTTACTGAAATTTTGCTATTTAAAAGTTGATCTTTCAAAATCATTTTCCACTAGAATTTTGAATAAACTAGAACAGCTCATTTTTTTATTGAGGTTTAACTGACATACTATATTATATTAGTTTCAGGTATAAAACATAGTGATTTGGTATTTATGTACATTATGAAATGATCACTACAATAAGTCTAGTTACCATCTGTCACCATGTAAAGGTTTTAAAATGTTGTTGACTACATTCCTGATGCTGTACATTACATCTCCGTGTATTATTTGTTTTATAACTGGAAGATTGTACCTCTTAATCCCCCTTGCCTGTTTCATCCATCCCTCTACCCTCCCTCTGCTCTGGCAACCATCAGTTTATTCTCTGCAGCTGAGTCTATTCCTGTTTCTTGTTTATTTGTTTTGCTTCTTAGATTCCACATGTGAGTGAAATAAGGTATTTTTCTCTGATTTATTTCACTTACCATAATACACTCTAGGCCGTAAGTCACGAGATTTCATTCTCATGACTAATATTCTGTTGTGTGTGTGTGTGTGTGTACACATACCTACATACATGTACACACACACACATACACATCACATCTTCTTTATCCATTTGCCCCTCTTGGACACTTGGGTTGCTTCCATATTTTGGCTATTGTAAAAGATGCTGTAATGAACATAGGAGTGCCTGTATCTTTTCAAATTAGTGCTTTTGTTTTCTGTGGACAAATAACCAGAAGTGGAATTACTGGATCATATGGTATGGTAGTTCTGTTTTTAATTTTTAAAGGAACCTCCGTACTATTTCCCATAGTTGCTATATCAATTTACATTGCTACCGACAGTGCACAAGAGTTCCCTTTTCTCTACATCCTCACCAGCATTTGTTATTTCTTGTTTTTTCAATAATAGCCATTCTGACAGCTGTTAGGTGAAACCTCTTTGTGGTTTTGATTTGCATTTCCCTGGTTAGTGATGATGAACATCTTTTCATGTGCCTGTTTGCCATCTGTATGTCTTTGGAAAGTGTCTATTCAGGTCCTCTGCCCGTTTTTAATCGGATTGTTTTCTTAATATTGAGTTGTAGGAGTTCTTTTTATATATGGATATTAACCCCTTTTTATATATATCATTTGCAAATATCTGCTTGCATTCACTATGTTGCCTTTTTGTTTTGTTGATCATTTTCTTTGCTGTGTAAAAACTTTTCTAGTTTGATGTAGTTCCTTTTTTTTTTTTTTTTTTTTTTTTTTTTTTTTTTTTTTTTTTTTTTTTTTTTTTTTTTTTTTTTTTTTTTTTTTTTTTTTAGTTTTGCTTTTTGTTGCTTGTGTCTGAGGGGACAGATCCAAAATAATATTCCTAAGATCAGTGTCAAAGAACTTATTACCTATTCTTCCTTCTAGGATGTATGGTTTCAGGTCTTACATTTAAGTCTTTAATCTATTTTGAGTTTATTTTTTGTGCATGGTGTAACAAAGCAGTTTCATTCTTTTGCATGTGGCTTTCCAGTTTTCCCAAAAAAGAGACTCTTTTTTTCCTCACTATATATCCAGTTTTCCCAAAAAAGAGACTCTTTTTTTCCTCACTATATATCCTTGCCTTCTCTGTCATAGATTAATTGACCATGTAAGCATGGGTTTATTTCTGGTCTCTCTAGTCTGTTCCATTGATCTGTGTGCCTGTTTTTGTGCCAGTACAATACTTTTTGATTACTATAGACTTATAGTATAGTTTGAAATATGGTTGTGATACCTCCAGCTTTGTTCTTATTTCTCAATTTTGCTTTGTGTATTCAGGGTCCTTTGTGGTTCCATACAGATTTTAGTATAATTTGTTCTACTTCTGTGAAAAATACCCTTGAT